ATTTATTTTTGTTTTCCAAATTATGATCGTGTAGGGCAACCTCAGGCCGTGCCAGGGAATTTTTGAAGATCGTCTTCTTTCATGGTCTCACTTCTTGCAACCAATGAACGCAGCGATTCGGAAGCAAAGTCAAATTACACTCCGGAAAATCACTCGGACCATGCTAACTTAAGCTGCGAGATTATACTAGATAACCTCGACGATTGATCCACCCTGGGTCTCGAGTCATATATTGTACCGCGTATCAGTCGACGCTAGGCCAAGGATGGAGCGTTTCTTACGTATGGTTTAAGCCCCTACTTGCCGTTTAAGAAAATAATGATAGGAACTTAAACCAAGCTAGTGATGGGACGGCGCTGAGCAACCCGTTCTTCGCCACACGTTCTCGGGCGCTAGCTAGGCTATTATTTCCGACCGTTTTACAGCCAGCGACTGCCTCTGGGGGTAGGTGATCGCGAAAATTAAGGTTGGATAAAGCTCCTTTCATCGTGGGTTTGAAGTTGAACAGCCACTTGTCAGGGCACCGGCATCCATCTGCCATTGCTGTCGGTCCCGGCCGAAGATTTAAGGAGACACCTACTAAAAAAGACAACAAAAAGAAAAAAAAAAGACCAGGCTAGTCTAGGATTCAATCAAACGTGGGCGGGGGAGACCGTTTACCATGACTTGCGCCTTTTTGCGTGATGTCTACCCTGGAGTGCGAGCAGAAAGAGAAATGGAAACGAGACAACAACAAAAAAAAGAAAAGGGACAAAAATTTATCAAATTCCTGGAAAACAACTGCTGGGAAAAGACCATTCATCCCTGTTCATCTAAGCAAGTTGGGTATGTACCATCAAACAACTCCGGGTTCCCACTCCAGTTCAAGGCGATGGAGAGAGAGTATTTAGGGCCAGGATCGTTCTCCAGCGACTCGACTTGAGAAGGCTTGGTTGGATTTCCGTGAAGCCTACAGTGGATGGTCCACCAAACAGCAGACTAGCACGGTCCGCTAGCCATCCTTCCCTCGTGGATGTCTCGCTGGGACTGCTCACGCTCGTCCATTAGCGTATCACTGAGTGGAGATGATGCGACGACGTACGACAGCCCTGGTCCTGAATCCTGACAGGGGTGAGGAGAGGGAGGTCGAAGAGGATCGATTTCCTGAGCTAGTTGCAGCACACTGACAGGGCTTCTGACGGCCGGGTTTGTTTCCCTTGACCCGATAACCTGCTTCCTTCCACTTGACCACTTCCGTATACTACAACGCATTCTATACTCCAAGTTAACTTTAACTCATGCTCAGGATCTGCTACATACGTCCGAACTGGTCGTGGGAGCTCCCCGCTTCCGTTGATCATCTTCTTGTTTGTATGGGATCCCCAAGAGCGCGGGTGCTCTAACCGCACAGTGTGAGACTCTTTGTTAGCTTAGTGTTTCATCCCGGCCATTCCTGGGTGCCCTATCTTTCTTTCTCCACGACTCGGTCATGCCTTGGCACTCTGCTAGACGGCTCGGTGAGTCGCAACCGGTGATCTAGCAACTCACCATGTTGGCGTACTCGATGACCGTTGTCCCTTCTGGGTCGGCTCTGCAGGCTAAGCTTGACTGGAACGCAGGTCCGTCAAATGAGTGACCTGAAGTCATTTGATTTTTTGAGGGGATTTTTATTTTCTGACTTGGATTATTTTCGGGTTGGAATGATTTTATTTTTATTTTTTAATTAGTTCCCAGAATTTCTAATTTGATTTTTTGTAATCTGGAGATTTGTATTTTATTTTTACCCTTTTTACCCACCTGCATCTTGCTCCATCTGGCCGTATACTTCGGCTGTCTCGCTCAAATCCGAAATACTACCTACGTTGGCTTTTCCTTTTTTTTTTCTTCTCCCATTTGTTGTTATCTTCCAGAACGTTTCCTCGACCGTCCACTATCGATACTTGTTATATATCCTACAACCTATCATCGTGAAATCCTGGTGCACACGTAGACTGGGGGAGAGCATCCAGATTTGTTGTGACATTCGTTATCCCACAATTCCTTTACCTGACGCTTCTGCATTATCAAGCAACGGGGGCCCACGGGTGACAAGCCGTTTGGAGAATTCTAGTTGCTGATCATCTTTCCTGGACAAAGTACCTAAAATCCTTTACTACTCAGATCTGGCAAAGTCGATTTTCTCGTTTCCTGGACGTCCTGCACCGGTTGAAGAACGGGAGCCTGTTGGAAGCGGTCTAGCTCGAGAAACCGTCACATCCCCTGGTGAGCGCAATCTAATCCATCCCCTTTACTCAGCGTCGGTACAAGGCGACCGTATAGGTCGTCTTCGTCGCTCCCCTCATCTAAATGAATCTGAAATTCCCCTCTTCCTCCCTGTCGTGATCCTGAACCGACCCCAGTTGTGCCCCAATTCTAGACCCCGTGTGTGTCTCTGACTCTGGAACAGCTTCGGGCCTTTTAAACTTGGCTAGTGATTAGCAAAAGCATGAGGCTTGGGTACTTTTGAACAAGGTCTTTTGTATACTGCATGGGGAGAGGGTGTGCTTTTTTGTTTTGGTCCCACGCCTCCAGAATCAGCCCACGGCATCCCCTTCAAATATCGGTCCCAGTCCCTTTGTCACTCTTTCGGCGAAGTGTCATCGATCCGCGTTGACACCTCCGCATCCCGCTTAGACGTACTTTCTTTTTTTTTCTTTTATTTTTATAAACCGTGATCAGATAGCCTGCCAGGGCTTTTATGCTCTAGCAGCGCTGATGTATGTCTGCGACGCTGGCGGATCCATATCGAGACTATGCCATTGATTACGCTCAACATGCCAGCTGCAAGCCCGAGGAACATACAAGCACGCTTGTTTACCACACGCATCAGCCACAACTGCAACATCCGAAGCCGCCAGAGTCTCCTTTCCAGCAAGGAAGTTCGCGCAGCACGGCATTTGAGCACCATCATGCAAACGCGACCGTTCTCCCAACGGCGAATCACCAACCGACAGTCCATGGACTCTCCCAACAAGTCGTTCTCACCCCGACCCAAATGCTTTCACGGCAGCTGCCAGTACAATATACACCGACCAGCTTCGAAATCCCGTCATTACAGCGGAGTAAAAAGCGGCACCATTCCGAAACTGACGCAGAGGGCGATGACGCAAATCATGGGATCAGGCCACAGTTATCGATTCTCCCATCAGAATCATCTGCGGAACCGACGCATCACTCACCCGAGATGCTCTTCTCGGTTCACGGGGACGCTGGGCAACATCATCAGATGCAAGGCCACGACCTTGGATCGCAGGATTCGGTGGCCCTTCCACAACATCACCACCACCATCGTCTCCCCCCACACGCGTCATTACGCGACCCCCAGCGCCATGGTATGAATATGGAATCATCCCCGTTTCCTTCTGGCCCGCCAAGTGTTGTGGGCCAGCCTGGGATGCCCGATCCAGCGCCCAGGCCACGGGGGCCCAAGCTCAAGTTTACGCCGGAAGAGGACGCTTTGCTGGTAGAACTGAAGGAGAACAAAAACCTAACATGGAAACAAATCGCCGATTTTTTCCCGGGTCGAACAAGTGGTACATTGCAAGTCCGGTACTGCACCAAGTTGAAGGCTAAGGATGTGGCATGGAGCGATGAAATGGTGCGCATTTCCAATCCCATATCCGTATTACACCAGTAGACAGGACACACTAACTTTTTGTGGACAGGTCCAACGGCTACAGCGTGCGATGCAGGAGTACGAGAACGATCGCTGGCGTATCATTGCGGGGAAAGTTGGCAATGGCTTCACACCAGCAGCTTGTCGAGAGAGGGCTTCTCAGCTGGAGAACCCTCCATGATAGTTACGAGTGGATGTGTTTGCCCTTTAGCGCCGGCGTACGCTCCCCTACTATCCACTTTGTTACGTCTTATTCATTACCCTTTTTCGTTTCTTGGTAGGCTGTAATGGGGAATTTGGATGGCCACGGTTTAGCTCTATACCAGACAACTCGGTGTAAGGTAGAGGATAATGTATGTATCATATCCATTTAGCGATGCCCAACGTGAATAGTAATTTCATTTGTTTTATCCAAGTTGCCACCCGGTGCTTCCGTCCGAGTACCAATGGGTCAAAATGTCATTGAGCTCCCTCTGCGTGAGAGAAGCACGAAGTACTAGTCTCTGGTGATAAACATCAGATGATGTAGATGCCAGAACCCTAAGCCCTATCAGGCGTCGAATCGGGCAAGTAGTGCCCAAGTGGTCAGTCCAGGCCGCCGTAGCAGCTCCGCAACCAATCAACCCGCACTGCTGACTATTCGCCCGACCACGGGCCGAAGCGGCTTCAAACTCACCTCAAACCTCCAAACTCCCTCTGCTCCAAACGTCCTCACCTCCTCCGCCGTTATAAGCCCAATTCACCAGGACAATGTTCCTCCAACGCACAGCCTTCGCCCTCGCGCGGCGCGCTCCCATCAGGGCCGTCGCTGCCCGCCCTTTCTCCTCCTCCGTCATCCGCTGTACGTGAGCCCAATGTCAAATTCAAGACCGCCTCTTGAGAGCCTTCGTCGCAGTCACCACCCTTCCTGTGACCCCATTGGGTCCTGGAAATGGGATTTGTCCACCGTCAAGGCAGTCTTATCGACGCAGTAGCTAACATTGAGTCTCTAACTGCAGCCAACAAGGCGAAGTACGCTGTTGAGAAGGATGGCAAGATCCTTTCTTTCGAAGGTTGGTTGCCAGACATGTTGTCATACGATTGGCAAATGCCCGTCTATAGCCGTTTTCCCAATCCGTGTGCTCTTGTAGTTACGGATTATGTCATTGGAGTGACCCTCCATTCGCAGACCAATCTTCTCTTCAACATCTTGATTCACCACCCGCTACGCTTTGGCAAACAATGCTGACCGGTTCGTTTCCACAACAGAGATCAAGACTGAGGAGGACCTCGTCCCCCCCGGTGCTAAGGCCGGTTCCGTTCCCTCCGACCTCGAGCAGGCCACTGGTCTCGAGCGTCTTGAACTCGTCGGAAAGATGCAGGGCATTGACATCTTCGACATGAGGCCCCTCGATGCCTCCCGGAAGGGTACGCTCCCTTTTAATCCTACGAATTTTTCGGTGGTCTACACGCGTGTGCACTTAAATGGGACCACTGCGATGATATCCACGCAGACGAGCCATGACTGACACGCAATGTCTTACAGGAACTCTCGAGAACCCCATCATCGTCAACGGTGCTGGTGACGAGCAGTACGCTGGTTGCACCGGTTTCCCCGCTGACTCCCACACCGTCAACTGGCTGACCGTAAGTCTTTATATTGCCATTGAGTGGCATGCTCGGTATCCGCGCATGGAACGCTAATTGAATCGATTCAGGTCTCTCGTGACCGCCCCATCGAGCGCTGCGGCGAGTGCGGCAACGTCGTCAAGCTGAACTACATCGGACCCTTGGAGGACGCCCATGACCGTAAGTCCCCTATACTTGTTGAAGCTCTCTCCAATTTGCTCCCCTGCTCACTCAATCCTTCCAGACGATCACGGCCACGGCCACGGCCACCCCGCTCCCGAGGAGCCCAAGACTTTCGCCGACTACGTCAAGCCTGAGTACTGGTACCGGTAAATATTTGACACAATAATAGCTCAGTCATCTTTTCGCCTCGCGGTGAAAAGAATGGAGGATTTATGAAAAAGAGAGAAGGAGGTGGCTGTATCAATCCGGCATTTGTCTCTTGTAGAATAGTTGAGTTGAAAGAAGTGATTGGTGTCTAATTGATTATTGGTTTTTTTCGCTCTTTCTTTTTTGTCTACATTTTCTAACAGGGCTAGCTCGAAACTCTGCCCATGGTTTATCTGCGAGCCAGACAAAGAGTATAAATGACATGACTCGAGATCGGGTGGCATGATGCGGTAAACCCGGGAAATTTACGTATCTCGGTCATCACTATCACGTGGCAATCATCCTTCCCGGCCAATGTCCATAATTGTAATATCCACTTACCCATGTCGTACCCGGAACTGGGATAATAAACATTTTTACTTGTCTCACATGTGTGATAACACTACTGCTGCCAATATCAAGAATTGAGATTAAGGGAGCGAGCGACAGCCAACGGAAGTAGAGTATATGTCACAGATACAGTATATAGTTTATATTGGAGGCTGATAGATGCCCAGAATGGAGATTGACTGGGAAAATAAATGATTGTGTAGTTTCCAAGGGAAATGAATGACATTATGCTCAGACTGTTGCTTTTGGTGAGATTAATTGGAGATGACGTTTTGGTCGTTTGATTCCTATTGGCTCAGGACGACGTTTATATGAAGCAGGGGGGCAGTGTATGTGTGTATACGCCCGTTAAGACACGAGTCCAAAGTAAGCGGTTGATTGGAGGTGTTCCGGATAAGCTTAGACAGTTACCGGCCCAACATGCGCAGCTCGACATACCGTAATGGCGGGTACACGAGCCCAGCCCAGGTGAATCCGACGTAGTTACCCATCTATCCACGATTAGATGTGTTCTTTGAGGTTGGTTAAGGTAGTGGGGAGAGCAATGCATCACTTACATCTGCGCCATATTCACCCACTAATCTGGAAAGAGGACCAATATACCAGACTTGCGCCATGCACAAGATTGCGCCGACCCAACCGACTACGAAGGCGACAAATGCGGCTATGCCCACAGGTAGCTTTGAGGGGTCATTCCACACATTCCAGTTATACCCAGTTCGAAATCGGAAAATGAACCGCTCTTCGAGAATGATGGCGATCCATATTGCGACCCAGTAGCCCATAAGAGCGAGGAAATTGGTGAAGATGTCGGAAAGGTTGCTACGACCAACTAAGGCGCAGACCGTGTAGATTATAACGCCGATGGTGTTCCATATAGCTCTCGGGACCTTCTCGGCGTATCGTCCAAGGACCTGGAAGTCGACACCGGCGGAGTAGGTCGGTGGGATGGTATTTGCGATAAGTCCTAGCGCAACAACCACAGAGCAGAACTTGCCGAACCCATGCAGAGGCCCGAATCCTTCGACGATAAGTGCTCCTGCACCCCTAGAGTATGCTGCGCCGTACTCTGGATGACTTGAAATACCAGACGCAAGTCCGATACCGACAAGAAACGCCATAGTGAATGATACAATAAGGCCTACCAATGAAAGAGAGAAGAGTGTCACTCGGGAGGTTCTCTCAGGGTAATAGACGAAGAAGTCGCCCGCCAATGGGGCATAGGTAATCGCAGCACTGAGACAGATGGAGAAAAACGACAATCTAATGACACAAGATTGTATTAGCTATTGCCTCAGCAACATAGCAAAAGTCATGGAGGCGTACCGGTTCCCAGCAAGTGTGCGAGGATCTCCAGAAGAAGGCGTCGACAGATCAAACTTTGATGAAGACACAGCGTAGAGTATAGAGACTACGATAATCTGGGGAAGGAACGCGAAGCTTGACGCAGTCAGTACCCGACTAAACTTATTAAGGGCATTCACACGCACCGTTCGTAGTAATGGAAGACCTGATAGCCGAACGTGGCTATCACCCAACAACTGACTGCGATGATCACAATGCCTACCATTGGATCAGCACCTATCATTGAAGTTCTCAACACCATGACAACCTACCAACAGCTACCGACATGTCCCCATTTGGTGACACGGCAGACAAGATCTGCCCGCATACTACGCAATCAATTAAGCAGTACCCAAGCATTTGGATCAGATTCAGAATGACGACAATCTTGCTCGGCCACCACCCCATCGTATAGCGTCCGAATGCCTGGATCATGTTAGCATACAGCAAAATAGTCGGCTTAGCCTGTGAAAAGCCCACCATAGTCCGGACGCCGGAGACTGGCCCCCATGTAGCCATCCATGCGGCAACTAATGCGCCAACGAGAGCACCCAGAACCGCACAGAGTGCCGAATCCAGGAAGCTCAAGCCATATACAACGGGGCCCAGCATTCCTAGGGTGATGTTGTTGGCTGCCAAATTGATTGAGACCCAGAGCAAGAACGCTTGAAGGTACGAGACCCAAGTCAACTTTTTCATCCGTTCATGTTGCTGTACCCTTTCAATACCACGGGCTTCCAGGTTGTATTCAATCAGTTGGTTTTCAAACCTCTTGACGTATGCAGCAATGCGTGGCGATAAGAAAGGGCCGTCCGCCGCATCGCGACCCTCTCCATCATACTCTTGGGGCGGGTGATCAGTGAAGGCAGTTTTTGACGGTTCCTTTTCGGATTTTACCCCTAGGGCAGGCAGAGGACGCTCTGAGGACATGCTGTTACTATCCAGTCAGTATCAACCCATGTAGAGCGTCGGGGTTAAGAAAGCGGGCATGAGTCCTTTCGCTGGAATTATCCAGATCAAGTTCAACCGTATATTCTCAGAACGACAACTGCCACCACATCGTCTGCGCCCACATTTTGAGGACAGCAAGCCAAGAGACACGCGAGTCATGGCCGGGCATATTGCAGCAGATTTGTGTATGACAGCGTTGCCGAACACCGGTCTTCATGCAGGCGTATTACCTAGATACCTTGATCGACAGACAAAACCATGCTACTTGTCTTCATGATAGCCATCCCTTGCATAGAGATCCTGTGATAAGACGGGAGAGTTGTACTCGTAACAATTGCTTTTTGTTTCCCCCACCGACTTGGTTCAACCCGTTTGGAACTACGACTTGAAGACTGAGAAAGTTAGCCAATCGAATTCTCAATTGTACTCGACGGAAAGCTTTTCCTCGAAAAGGTGTAATGGGGTTCACCTGGGAAAGTATATAAAAGACCCTGTCGCGATACGGGGAAAGCTAGTCAGCGTTATGAATGCTTCGCGAACAAGACGACTGGAGTAAAGAAGTGGCAAAGGGGATGTCACTTTTTTTATTTTCAGAAGGAGGAAAGATTTATCCCCACTTTCTTGCCGCGGGGAAGTCATTTCTTCGGTTCTCCGCTCCGATAGCGGATTCCGCCAATGATAAAGCTACACCCGTTGTTGACGTACCTTTGAATCATGGAGAATTCAACATACGTCCAATGACATAGGTACGGAACTTATGAAGCTGGGCGCATCAACTGGTTTATCGCCGAATACATATGGGTTAGGCAGAATAACTACAGTCGACATTGGGAGAAGCACTGATGGGCCGGTCTATCTGCGCTTCTTCTTCAAGGCTTGGATATGACGCAGGTTCATCGCATTGGTTTAGAGGACTATCATGGAGTGCGAATCAATAGTTGTAAACGATAAGGGGGGTATACCAAATGTAAACGAAGAGAAGAGTAGAACTAAGCGAAAGGACAGTAAAGGCAAACTCCAAGCACTTCGCCAAGCATTGTGCAAATTGTTGTCAAATAGAAAAGAAGAAACAAAAGAACATGCATTGCTGTTGCGCGAATCCAGTTCCCCAGCAGCATGAACGAACGGTTCAGATATCCCATGCACTGATAATCATGTCTTCGTCAAATTCCGTCGAGCGTCTAGAGGTCCTTAAAGTGCTCTTTCGCATACTGTTCACATGCCTGTATCCATGTCAATAATTGGACTCGGTTGAGAATCTCTGGAGCTCTCACCTTGGCCGGTTTTCCAACTTTTTGTCCGATGACTTTCCATTTGCTCGCCTCATATTCCTTGATTGCCTCGCGGAGCGCTATGGACTGCATGCTGTCAGACGCAGTATGGTAATAGAGACCTTCCTCGAAGCGCTATAATTTACCTCGTCTTCATCAAATTCGGCATAGTGCATATCCTAATTAGGAATGTTAGTCACTGGACAATGACACGATCCAGGGAAATAGCTGCCACGCTACCTTATACCAGTGCTTCTTAACACTCCCTTCAGTTCGAAAAGGGAATGTCTAAGCGTTTCGATTAGTAACGCATCCGTGGCCATGGATGGGACCCGACAGCACCTTAGCAATCTCACTCCAGCTGCGACCAGCATCGCGCATTGTCTTTAGCCGTTGCTCTTCCTCCGCAGTCCACGGAGTGTTGGTCCTTCCCTTTTTCTTGGGGGGAGCTTCTGGTGCTCCTGGCCCAGGTTCAAGTGTGGTCTCGGCCGCAGCGGCTGTAGTCCCAGATGCTGTCATGGTTGTCGCAGTGCTTACCTGGGGCGAAGCACGGCGCTTTTTGGGGTTGGGGGGAGAAAGCTGAGATTGGGGCATAGGAATGCCCTCGAATGAAGGCACTCTTTGAAATGGATTGACCTGCTGCGGAGCTAGCAGGTGCGATGGCGCGCTGGTCGATGGAGACGCCTTGACTCGTTTGGAGGTTGGAGGGGTTCTAGTTGAGTGTCAGGGAAGAAGAAGCAGAAGTTGAGATGGTGTATTGTGTTAAGGAACAGTGAACTGGGCCTCAGATGAAACAGTAATGACACAACATAAGTATATCAATCGAACGAGTAATAATCATCAACGAACGGGTAAACTCAAGGCCATTCAACTCTGCAAGTCACATGTAATGGACCGAAGAACGGAAAAAGTAAAAAAAAAAAAAGCACATGACACGAGGACTATATATACGGATGAAGAAGCCAAGGGCAGCTAAGTAGGGAAAGATCGTTGTTGCGCCGCACTACCGAAGCCTCTTTTTCCCTGAGAAGGGAAGGATGGGGAGGAACACTTACGACATGGTGGACGATGCGCAGTATTCCCAATCACGCTGCGTCGATTCATCTGTAAATACACATGCTTAAGAGATTAGCAATCCGCTACTCCAGAGTAGATTGGCCTGTCCAGTCCAGGGAAAGCAGCTCTTGGTTACACCGAAAAAACAATGACGATGACACGGGCGCATCCCTCGGTGTGGCAGTAGTGCTGCAGGATGTCAAGCACGTACGGCACGCACAGGAATGTGAAAGTGGTTGGGGGAGATTACGTGCATATGAATGCTCGGTGAGGTTGATGCTTGTACAGTATAGATGTGGGAGTTAATCGGGAAGAAAATGATCTGATATCAAACTCAACAGTGCGACCCGATATGCAGCAAGTTGAGGGAGAAGGAAATCGGGGAAGTCGAATAACAACGAAGAAAAAAAACCAATAATAATAATAATATATAAACAGGTTTAGGCACAATCATTCGAAGACTTTTCCAGCATAGGAAGAGCTGGAGGTGGAGGAGTAGCAGTATGGGGATACAAAGGCTGGAAATAGTATGGTAGAGGAGGAGTACTGGACGAGCGACGATAAGATGATACGGTCAGAAGAAAAGAGTGGAGAGGAGCAATAGGCAGCATACGTACTGGTCAAAGTTCATGGCTGAGGAGGGACTCTTTTTCCTCAAGGGTTCGGGTCAAATCCAATAGAAGGAAACAAAGAGGTGAAGTTACATGGAATAGAGAAATAAATGATACACAAGTGAGAAAGAGAAGAGGTGAAGAGTGAGCTGAGAAGAAAATACTTTACTTGTACAGTAAGGTTCTTGTACAGTTACAGCTGAGGGGAAATCAAATTAATTCTGTACTAGAGAAAAGCACCCAATCCCGACGTCTCCGAGCTTTACTTGCTTTTTATAATAAATCATAATAATTATTCATTTATTTCTTTTTTCTTGCCTTTAACCCCTGTCTTTAATCCAGTCTGCAGGCAATCCCCAATAATAACATACCTCGACAAAAAATAAAAATAAAAAAAAGGCATTATAAAGAATCCTTCTATTGAGGTCCTATCCTAACGGTTTCCTTCAAACTAAAATTGTCAAGGGTACCAAAAACGGCGTATACACTAGACGCTTCAGTCTGCCGGATTCCTGTAGTATCAAATATACTGTAAACCTCCGGTCATTGTGCTATGGTCGAGACTTCATGACTTAGCTCAAATTACCAGCCACCAAAGCCCTCTTATGTCAAACCCTAGGTCAAGGTGAATCTTCAGGTGACAAACCAGCGTTGTTGGACATCCAACAGGGTAATCTACAGGTATCAGTCTAGAAAAAACTGTGTCAGTCCATAGAGCTCCATTTCATCACTGGTCTTTCTTTCCGGGCTAACCTGACAATGCTGCAGTTGTCCAGTTGGGGCCAAGCCGTCTGACATCGCCTGTCGTGAGGGGCTTTCTATCCAGTGTGCTCTGACCACCACCGACTACTACTAGGGTGACATTAATCATCCGTCTTACTTGGCAGACCAAAAAAAAAAGCAAATGAGTATGCTCATGGATAAGAATCAGGTTTGTTGTTTTTGAGTTTCTATCCTTTTTCGATCCTCGTACTCGAAATTAACTATGGGAAGTGGGGTAACGCTCAACCATAAAATCAGTTAAGTATAGTTAATTGGTACCTGTGTGTCAACATGACATCTGCACCGTTAGATCGGTTCATAATGCAAGATTCTACTGTGTTTATCAACAATTTTATTCTCATTAGCATTTTTCTGAGTCCTCTTGTAAGAAATATTATATAAATAGAAGGTAGCCGTTGTTGTGTAGATATAGTCATAATCGGGTTCGTGCATGTATCATCTATATAAAGAGACGGAGTAGGGCAGAAGGGGCGCGTGATACTTTTGGCATTAACTCGACTCAACTGATATCATTCCATAGCAAACTTCTCACGGGAGGAACAGATTTTGTTTATTGAGGATGCTTTCCAAATCCTCGGGTCTAACAACTCCTGCTATATACCCGTCCCTACGATCTCGAGTTAGTGGATATCGTAGTGATTTATCATATACAGCATAGGGGCAGTATACATATCCAGCATGCGATCAAAGACCTTATTGACGTCATCACTGATAAGGATGAATCACGTGATGTACACGCGGCCCCAGATCCGGTGGTGGACCCCAATGAGCTCAGCTCCCGTGCCTTCTGTGCTCTGAGATACTGAGATAAATGACACATCTGTAGGACAGAATCTCTCCGTGTCCTCTACGTGTTGACCGCCCTTTCTCCTGCCCTCTGCTCCCTTCTAGCACGGCTTCCCTTTGGCCACATTGCCACTTTATTGGACTTTGGTTGTGGTCGCACATCCCAATCTGCGTTTCCGAGGCAGCAATTGTACAACACGCGAAGCTTTCGAGTACTGTCCTGATAAATTCGAGAAGGACGGGCGATCCCGAGGGAGTAGGTTTCTAAGTAGCACTCGGACTGTCTTGATGGCTATTGCTTGGATGGTGTCGTCATTCCTAACCTAGACATTGAACCCCTACTTACAAGCCATATACTTGAGACACCCTGCGTTGGTTGATTTGGATATCACGATACAATGGACCCAAAGTGGAACATTTTTCGCATACTGGGCGATCTCGCCCATATCTCTTCAAAATGCATTCTGCTGTGGGCCATCCATCGCAACAAGAGTGCGGAAGGTCTGTACGCTGCCCCTAGTTATCGATAGGCATTATACTCACCTGCTACTTTTCATCGCAGGTGTTTCGCTTCTTACCCAGGTGCTATATATGGTAGTCTTTCTCAGCCGTTATCTCGAATTGTTCATAGGGATAGGATGGGGGACCTTTTATCTCGTGTTTTTCAAGCTGTTTTACATCTTCTCTTCGGCATATATCATCTTTTTGATGATGAAGGTATACCCCCGGACACGGGAAAGGGAGCGGGCATGGAAGCTGGCCTTAGGCTCTGCTGCGGCGTCTTTAGTGTTAGCACCGATCTTGATGCTAATATTCAGACATCCTTTGCCCCAGAGATGGTTCACGGAGGTGAGTTGACCTAGGGATATATCATTTGTTGGAGGCTAGACTAATGAAGTGGGGCCTGCGCCGTATAACTATATAGATTTGGTGGACATTTTCGATCGTCCTGGAATCCGTTTGCGTGCTCCCCCAATTACTGCTCCTACGCCAGACCACTGTCCCTACTGTCATCGACTCCTATTATCTCCTTACATTAGGCTCCTACCGGGCATTCTACATTCTGAACTGGCTGTATAGAGGATTTGCCTCACATTACTGGGATCCCATTTCAGATATTTTTGGCATCGTCCAGACCGCGTTCTACATTGACTTCGCTTGGGTCTACTATACACGACAGCGTGTAAAACTCCGCAACGGTGGCGTTGTAGACTCTGAGGATTTCCGGAACAGCTGGCTGGTCAACAAAGTGTTGAGTTTCAGGCAGCGACGGAGCGTCGATGAAGAACAGCACCTCCAGGATGAAGGAGCAGAAGCTGGACATGGAGCTGAGGGTGAGCGGCCGAGAAACAACCGCTGGGGTGCTCGAGGGATATCTATCTCAGCAGATGACACATTGAACGAGAGTCCCCACGCCAAACCCAGCAGCACAGGTGACGACCGGCTGGAGGGATTCCTGGAGGACGAAGAAGACGGTTGGGAAGAGCACGCGAACCAACAAACACAGCACAACCATTCTCCTGATGCGACGGACAATCAGAAGTGATCTACTGGTTGATGATGGAGGGAAGGATTTTGCTTATAGAAGGCTTTCGTTGCGGGTTTGACATGTGCGTTGGGGTTTCTGGATTTATTTTGGGGGCTTGTGTCATCATGATTCCTACTCTTACAATCAAGTGAAACGACATTGAATTTTTGAAGCAGTAGCGATCGGCTAACATTCGATGTGAAACTGAAATTGGAATGACAGATACTATTTTTGGAATGGAATCAGCCTGTCAGGGCCTTAGGGACCCTGATTTGATATCATTCTCAACGATAATCTGCATGGTCCGGGAGGGGATGATGACGGGAGGGGCGAAGTTGAAGAGAGAGAGCTCGATAATTGGAGAGTTTTGAAGGAAACTAAAATAAGAAATAGTAATAGCAAATAAGAACATCACCTAAAGTAAGTCTATCCGTCCATGAAAAATCATTAATGAACAGCGAACGTGGAACCGTTGTTTCAAGAAATGCTCTGAGCCATGCTGCGCCATTTCATAGCCACGGACCCCATGTCAAGGCCGTTGAGATTACATCCATGTTCGGTAAACAAAGGGAAGGGGGCCAAGTCGAAGTTAGAAGGGCAAAACTGCCTGATCAGCGGTTCGGAAGTCGGCTTTGGGGGTGGGAAATAGGTTCGCGAATCCCTGTTCCATACTATTGTTCAGTAAGGAAAGTACCGAGGGCAGCGTGCAAGCCGCAAACTGGTACCCTATCCTCCGTACTATGGGCTGATGTTAATTTGAAATTCTTTTACATTAGCCCTTCCCTTTCCCGTTTTAGCCCCAATCCTGTGACATCACGTGCCCGCCCCGTCCCGTCACCCATGGAGATGCATCATTGCATATGTCCCTCGTCTGGATGGATGGAGAAAATTACACGACCATCAGCCTCCAGATGCTGTGCTTGGGGGCCGGAGGAGAGAAGGAGGGGGAGAAACGCTGTGTGGTTCTTCATGATCATGGCGAGAAAATTTTTCCCGTGATTGATCTGTTTAAGCGCTTGTGCCATCCCGACTCCCGAGATCCACCGCTGACGGTCTGGAAATGAGGCTCAAAGCCAATCTCTCATCTCATCTGGCGCCTAACCATTTGATATCGTCGGAGACACGTGGCGCTGGTTGGATCATTTGGATGCACACCACCGGCAGGATTCTTGAGGATTACTACCTTATGTCTGAGAGTCTGGACAACGAACGGAGTAACTTTGCTAGACACATTTCCTGAAAGAGTTGAACTGTCATCGTGGTGGTCAGAGCAATATCCCCAGTCCTGTCAATCCGCTAACTTTGACTAGTTCGTTCCTAATCCACCGGGGATTTGCAGCCGCAGCAACGAAGCAGCGCTTAATGACCCGCTTTGGTTCTTCCGGAGCAGCCCATCCATAAGCTTGGTCCGTTCTGTTGATGGAACTGGACCCTATGGGGTTATTCGGCCTTAGTCGATGGAGCAAATGTTTCTATGTGTCTTGTGCCCTACCCATTTCCATAGACTCCCTCGTTCCGGACTTTTTCCAGGTAAGGAATCCTGGTTGATGACCCTATTATTATTGGGGCTACACACTAGTAGCTTATCTATCAACTTCTCCGGCCCTTTAGGCTCCCCACTCGTGTAGTGACTAGAAGTCATAGAAGGGCGTTCGCCTGCATTGTGTCCAGGATATTTGTTTTTGATGACTTTTTATTTTTCAATGTATTGTTATTTTTTATTTTTATTTTTTTAATTTTATTTGATTTGATATCTTTCTTTTTTTAATTTTTCTTTTGTTCTTTCCAAATGACCCTCCCTTTCAATTGAACCTGGCAAAGTCTGTTTATTATTACTAGTATTTTCTTGTGAGATCCAGCGCTAATTTCCCCCCGACCGTCCTTCTAATTCTAGGATACGGCGGGCCGCTAAGCACCGATCCCAGTCCTTTGCCATGATGTCCAACCCATGGTTTCCACCCCTGGAGATCCAGAGCACTGGGACTATGATCGCAGGTGCTGCCTTGCCATCGAACAGCCATGTGGGCCTTTGAAATGCAAAGTCTGCGCCCCCGAAAGTTTGGGGGCTGGAATTCTTCTCCCCATGTTATGTCAAAGGATGAGCCATGGCTTTTTTTAAGACGCCAATGTTTTCTATCGGGATAAGTTGGCGCTTAAATGCGGGCTCATCGTCAAGTTTACACCTCTGGTTAAGAGCAACTTAGTGCGGCACAGCGTGGTGGGCGGTCTCTACACGTCTCTTAGAGCTCTCTAGACCTATTGACAAGGAAGAAAAAGTGTTCAAGAATTCTAGCCTGCCTCGCAAGGCAGCCCCCTCCTCTCGTTGTGCTGTACCAAGGATATGAACTTGCATAACATTACCGTTATCACTTTGTTTCTTCTATCTATTTAATACAGCAGTCTCTCCTCAGCCGGGGTTTCAGTGTTGCGAAGGACGTTCACTTTCATTGGCTTTCCCAAAAGGCACTACTGCTTATATACTACCACCTCTGGCCCCAATAAATACATTGATTTCATTCTTTGCCGCTGTGATTGTTGCTTCCTCTGTCGTTGTCTCATCAAACGTTTGATCCTCCCGCCGCTACATATTGCTGGTCCTCCTATCGGCTTGCTCCATGTTCCCTCGGACTCCAGGCGACTATACCGGGCCAACGCCGTATGGACCAGCTGGTCCTCACCCCGAAGAAGGAATGGATAACTTCTATGAGACGTATCAAGCTCCATGGCCCGGAGTTGAAGCTGTACGTGCGAACTTGATGCCCACGCAGAGACGTCATATACTGACAAGCTCCGGTACTCCACAGTCCCCCTATGGAGGCGTCCACCACCCTTACAATACCACGGCAGCCTTTCCGTCCCATGCCATTTTAACGCCAATTAGTCTTCCTGACAGCTCTTTTGCCCATGCCCGACCTGACTCGGTTCTCAGCCATCATTCGCAAGAATATGCGTACTGCATGGCTGAATCTGTCCCCTCACATGGACTGGGAATCACCGCGCCCTTTCCAAGTGACTTCCCGCGAACTGTAACCGCTGGTCTAGGCCCTGTTCCCGACCCGGATTATGTCTTCAGTGGAGCCGCCCTGTCACCTCCACCACCTCCCGTTAAGCGGACCCGGCGAAGTCCTAAACCAACGGTGGCAGCTCGCGAAGGACCAGTCACCATCCTACCTCATCCGGAAGGTCTTCAACGACTAGAGCAGGAACGCCGGCGCGAGCAAGTCGACCCTCAGTCACACCAACGACCTCGAGCCCCCGGCCGAGGGCGACGAGACCCGCAAGCCGAAGAAGAAGATGCATTTGTTGAACGATTGCGGGAACAGAACCTGGCGTGGAAGCACATCCGGGAGATGTTTCGGGAGAAGTTCAACAAGGACGCATCGGAGGCCCGCCTACAGATGCGGATGCTGCGCAGGCGCAAGGACCGCTCGGCTCGGTGGGAAGAGAGCGATGTGAGTACGTACATCGCACCCACCTCCTCATCTTTGCCCACTGCTAATAACCAGGTCGTCTAGATTCGATTGCTCATAAGGGCTAGAGATTACTGGGAGAGGGAAAAGTATAATTTAATAGCACAAAAGGTGAGGTCTCCTACGCAGACAGTGAGTGGCATTGGTAACCTGCCTGCTAACCATCAAGGCATTAGATGCATGAGCTAGGGGCGAAGAGATCTTACACCGCACAACAATGCGAAGCACAACTACGGTATCTAGATTCACGTCGTGAGGGTGACCCCTCACTGACACGAATAGTGGATGCGCGAAGACGCGCTACGATGAAATCCCCTCGAGGAATTGTCCGCGTGACGAGTGCCTAGTCGTTCTCCACGTCCTCTTTCACCTATTGTTTCGTTCTTTCTCTCTACGATGGCCCTTTTTTCTTAGATCCTATTCACCCCTGACCAGCGTGGGTTTACTAGCAAGGACGGAGTTTTGATAACGAGATTAATGCATGACCAGCTAGCGTTGTTTGATGCCCTCTGTTTCATTCCTTTATTATCATTATCATTATCATTATCATTATTATTATTACGATTATTTCTCCCTTCAAATCGTTGACCTGTTAGTCCCGACATCTTGTCTCAGATACCGGAGATATACCCTGATTGCACCACCAAATGAAAAGTATCACTATTCCAAAAATCTCAACGAAGCTAAAACGCCGAAGTTCCCCAGTAATCTGGGAATTGTAATCAAAGAACGGTCCCACCATGACAAAGAGAAGCCAACCGCTCCAGAAACCAGGATTTCAAATTAGCAAAAAAAAAAAAAAAAAAAAGACGTTACACTTCCCATGTACAGCTCCAGTCCGTTCATCCGCAGGGACAAACAGCTGAACCATGCATCAGCCTCTCTCATGAACAAAGAAAAAAAAAGAAAAAGAAACAAGACCCACCATCCGGTTCAACAGTTCAACCGTTAAAGTTTAAGACCAGAAAAAGCAAAGAAACAAAAAAGAAGGGCAGATCCACGAAATTAAAACCGTACCCCGGTCCCTCGCTTAGACCGAAGCTTCAGTCCTTCCAAGACCTCTTTTCTCCTTGTTCTTTGAACACCTTCCCTGCGCCGCCAACATTAGCCGCCGTTCCAAGACAAAGAGGCTTAATGGATGCCAGTCGAGAGCCGCCGGACGAGGATCCTCTGCATTAGACTAGGCGGATAGATAGATTCGGGGATGTTTAAATGAGTTATGGATCCGGGATCGTCCAGTTGGTGTGACGTGGGGGGTGGTGGGGGGAGGGAAGGGATTTGCATGTATGTTGCGTGGTGAAGCTATTCGCTGGAAACGAAATCTATATTTGTAGATGGACCGGGGGTAGCATGACTGCGCTGCGGCTGAACTTGGTGTGTGCGTGTGTATGTCTCAGACCTGACTCGTGCCTTGCAGCCTGACTATCGACTGGGATGTGGTGGTGGTGGTGGTGGTGGTGGTCCTAAGTTCGAATGACCAATTCCCAGATTTTACCTTTACCTTCCCTTGTACACATACACACACACACACACATCTTGGATGTCTCACCCGCGGGACCGAGATCGAGCGTTGAACGACACTAGCCTCCGATCCTTTAATTAACGAACAGGATCATCATATATGTCAGGATGTGCATCCTAATGGGGTTATACTGACTCCTTCCCAAAACAGTTCATATCGAGGGTGCAAGTGTATACCAATCGGTTAGTAGTACTGTATATATGAAGCTCCAAAAGAAAAAAAAAGAAGGAAGCCGCCCTCTGGCCGCAATTGGACATGTTTATCAGCCTCGTGGAATGTCTTGCTCGTTTTCATGTATAGTATCGGTCAGTATAGTTCATTGACCCTGGTGATTTTCTTTGTCAGATGGAGAAGAAACCTGTCGTTGTACTTGGTTTTCTTCCCCCCTGGGACCCTGTCTACTAATATACTTACTATATCTACTATAACTACCAGTATAACTATAACTACAAGTATACTTTCGTATATGTAATGCATGTCTCATCTCAAAACTGAAATCCATCTGGACAGAACAAAAAGAAAAACGAAAAAAGACCGGGACATATACCGTTCGACTCCGGATTTTATGCAAGCCACGCTCTCATACTATCGACGAGAACGGCTTAGAGTGATCTTCATCCTGCATATGGGTACACGATCTGGCAAATTAAAGCAAAACCCAAAAGAACAAGGTAAAAGGAAAAAAGAAATAACAGGCAACACCAATTCATTATACATCGATAACGCCTTAATTTAACAGACTTTCTTGGGACGCAAAAGAAATTTAAGAGAGAAAAAAAAGGGGAACCTAACCATTAACTTAACTTGACAGCTGTGCTAAATGCCGACATTGCCGCGGAGGTAAAAAAAAAGGTTAGTTTTCCTCTTGCAGGCCAAATGTTGCCTAAACGCTTGAGCGTAAATTTAAGATTCCCGGAGTTTGGGGCACTGGCGACGTCCCGATTGGTCTGGGCGCGTGAAGGTGTTGCCTGAGATCTGGAAATTGGAATTAAGGCCGCCACGTTGAGTGAGACATGGTTCTTTGTCGGGGTTTGCATGGAGACGAGGCTGTCAAGGCTGATAGAGATAGTACACTCTGGGCTATTTTTCCTCGGAAGGTTGGAGGAGCGAAGTTAGGGCTTGCTGCTTGGCAGGTTTGGAATTGTCCTGGAACTTTTTGGCGGTATGCTGACAAGCTTTTCCACACCAATGACGAGGCTTGCGGCGATTGCTGCTTTTACGGGTCTATAGTCCGCCTCTAGTATGCAGGCCCGTTGGGGCTTCATGCGGCCGCATTGGTCGGACAGCAGACATGCAGAGAAAAGCGGTCAACGCTGGAGTTATTATTAGCCTATTGACGAAATCAATGCGGCGAGTATCGCCATTTAATGTCATGTTCTTTACTGGAGACGGTGACTCCGAGTGAGCCCTCGGAACAGCCTCAATCCGATCTAGCTCAAACATTCAGTAACCCAAGGATGGAAATAGCACCCAAGGTGAAAGAATGACTGGACTGCCGTGTCTTCTCGCGTCTCTGACCACTCACAGGTATAGTACAACTTCTCAACATCTTCCATCCACCCCCTTTGGTGACCATATTACGCCGCAATCGCTAACGATCTTCAGGATGGAGTCATGATTTGCTAGTGCTTTTCCCTTTCTCGCTCATATAGTCGCTCGGAAGTCCAGACCGGGTGCAGTAACCACAGGTTGAGCATCAGTGTGGCAATGGCGAAGAGACATTACCCAACAATGACTACATGACACTCGTGGAGGTGACGGAGTGTCCGGAGTGTATGGATATTATTATCAATCTTTGACTGCCGAGGCTGCTTGGGAGTGTCTTGTGTCTCGTACTGAGATCCAACCAGCATGTCTGGTTTTCGTCTTCTTGCGTGGACGTGCACAAATGCAAGCCATTGTGTAATCATCGCAGGCGAATTGCTTGAGCGGTCAGGGCCTTTTTGTGGGAGCGTCGGGCATGAACGACCGCCTATTCGTTCCGCATCTGATAACTGATCAGGTGGCTCTGAGTCGGACTGTGCATCGCAGGGTATTTGGAATAAAGGCGAGACAGTGTGAAGGAGTGTGCGATTGTCAGCCTCGCTCAACTGGCTGTGTAATATGAGTGTTTCGGGTGAGGGACAGAGGCGATTGTATATGCGGTGTAATTGGGTTTGTCTCTCGTTCTTAGACGGTCTTGGTAATGACAAGGAGAGGGTCACTTGAATAAATGGCGGGGGGTTTGAACGTGTCAATGTTTTACACAAGTTATGTTGGGAAAGTCGAATGTAAGGTCGCCAGTAGATGAGCCTTGTCTATGCTATAATGGATGTCTACTATTATGTTCAACTTTGCTCCTCGTCGGAGTCGTAATCATCCTCGACAATGGGGAACGTCAACAGAGCGGCAATGCCTCCCAGCCCATCCAGTCTCCTGCCACTCTCATGGTCTGAGCTGAGCACGCGAACCTCTCCACCTTCCACGTCCCGCACGCGGTCAACCAGTGATACCCACCGTTTACGCTCGGCCACGTCCTGGGACCGGAACAGGCGATTGGAGATAATGAGCACGCCACCACCACGGCCCACGGCGCCTTGGTCAACTGCCGATTCGACCTCGCGCGGACCGTAAGTCGCCTTGTTGGTCTCTTTCCGAAGTTGCTCCTGGAAGTCGTCCATGAGCTTGGTTTCACGGGCGTACTTGGTGTCGGCGAGGATCGTTTTGACGGAGGGTGACTGTAGAACTTCTGCCAGGGAATGTAGGTACCCGGAGGCGGAGTGAACGACCACAATACTCGGGAGTAGACGCTTCAGAGCGGGTGTGGTGGTCGCTGCGACGGACTGAATGTGCTTTTGGAACCCGGCGGCAACGAAACCAGGCGATGCAAGGAGGACGGGACGGACGGACTCGTTGCTGGTGAGAGAGGTAGAGCTAGTGTTGAATTCTATCTGGCGAAGAAGGGTGTCTAGCGTGACTTGGTAGAATTTCGTCAATCCCTGACTAAGTTAGCAGGGCCGTCGGCGTAGGTGATAAAAAGAAAGAGAATATCGAGCGCACCTTGTCATGATCGCTGCCCCCTTGTCGTTTCCGCGGAACTGACATTTCAACCTTCTGCTTCAGAATCGTCTGAAACTGCCCAATAAAGCATATATGAGCCAGACCCTCCTGCATAACAACGGCTACAGCTTCCGCCCTCCGGTTCCCGCCCTCATCAACCGCATCTTTAAGCATCTGGATGGCGATACTATCCCATCCCACCCCCTCGCCGTCGGAGCCGATTTCCTTTTCAAGCGTAAAGTTGCGATTCAACTCCAGATCTAGCGTATGGTGCTGGCCAACCTTGGTGTGCTGCGTCTCGTTCACAATCTGCCCACTCACATGCAGCTGGGAAAGCTGGGGATCGAAATCTAGAGATTTGACCCGGATCTCGAGCGTCAGGTGGACGCGAGCGGACGTCGTAGACCCAGTCTCTTGGGTCGTGGTAACACGGCGAATGGCACTGGCGCGAAGAAGGTCGCCAGGTCGAATTAGGTTGTATGCATGCCACTGAAGGAATTTGCTCAGCAATAGGGTCGATGCGATCGCTTAAAGGTCCAAATTATTACCATGTCTTCGGGCTCTTCAGGGCACAGAGTGACTGTGCCCGAGCCGTTCAGCTCGACCTTGTTCTTGATCAAGCGCATTTTGCGCGTGGGGAGCTGCAGGAGAGGGTAGGAGTGGGCTGGGGAGGTTAGATGTTATATCGGAACTTAAGTGGGTTGGTCTTCGAATGTGTGAATTTCTTTCGCGATGGCGAGCGACTGTTCTTCCTTCGGCTTAATAGACTTCTATTCAGGTGAGCATAGACGTAATGGATAATAATGGCTATCTGAGCGCAGGAATTATGTAGAGGTTCGTTGTTTAGCCTGGCTCCCCGCGAGTGTTGGCGGAGAGAAGATAGAAGACGGCGTTTTGCATCATCGGCGTCCAAGGTGCGGGACACGCCCTAGAGCGGTCTAGCGTTGATCTAGCGTTATCGATAAGATTGATATGCCCAAACCATACATAAGCCCTAATCTAGACAAGGCTACATGCATACTCCAAGTCTCCAAGTAGCTTCTAGAAGACTAAGTCGATAGTCTCCCTTTAGGTGGCCATAAGCCAAGGATTTATTTGCCGCGGGTGCCTGAAAAACACCCCCTGGCGTGGTATCATTTTCCGTGCACATCCCTAAAAGGCCTAACAGCCGAATTCGGTCTTCCGTTTTAGAGCAGCCCCACGTTGATGTTATCCACACGACGCCATGGGAGCTAATTTACTCGTCAGGGCCGCTGATCCAGCCGGAAGTGGAAGACTGTGGAATAAATAACGGAGCGAGGGACCCGGTGAACGTCTTGCTGTTCCGTTGTCTGCCCTGTTACATCTACCCCTCCAAACTGTCTGCTGGGCAAAGGTGACTTGTTAGCATTCATACAAGACAGAAAAAACAGAAAATATCACGGCCACACCAACATTATGGCTCCGCTATCGCTTCAGTCGACCCATAAGTTGGTCTCGGGATATGAGATCCCTGTCGTTGGTTTCGGTGTAAGTCGCAGCCGGATGGACCTTGACTGAAGAGGATGATTCTGACAACTATAATCCAATTTTAGGTTTACCAAACGTAAGTGTCTAGGGCTACATTTCGATCTAAACAGACTATATGGCATCGATACTGACCTGTCGGCGTAGTCCGCCTGATATCACAGAGAAGGTGACCCTGAAGGCCTTGGAAACTGGCTATCGCCATGTAAGGTGTTTTTTGTTCAGCATTGATTGAACAATGGAATTAACTGGACACCACAGGTCGACAGCGCCAAGTACTATGCGAACGAAGCTGAATGCGCCGAGGCTATCCGCAAGTCGGGTATCGACCGTTCCAAGATCTTCTACACAACCAAGGTCCCCGTCAGCCACATGTCCTACGAAAAGGCTAAAGAGGCTATCGAGGCTAGTCTTGCGGATGCAGCTGGAATCGGCTATATCGACCTGTAATCACTATCCCTAGTCCCATATGAAAGCCAGACAACTAACACCGACAAGGGTGCTGCTCCACGCTCCCTTTGGAGGTAAAGAGGGTCGCCTTGGCGCCTGGCGCGCTCTGGTAGAAGCTCAGAAGACCGGCAAGGTCCGTTCCATCGGAGTTTCCAACTACGGTATCCACCACCTCAACGAATTGGAGGAATACATCAACAGCGGCGTGGGTGGTCAGATCTCCGTTGGCCAATACGAAATCCACCCCTGGTGCCCGAGAGAAGACATTGTCGATTGGCTGAAGAAGCGCAACATTGTTGTTGAAGCGTATTCGCCTTTAGTGCAGGCCACTCGTATGAACGAGCCCATTTTGCAGAGTCTAGTCAAGAAGCACAACAAGACTCCTGCTCAGGTCTTGATCCGGTGGAGCTTGCAGAAGGTATGTTTTCCTTTATTGTCAGAGTTTCTATGCATATGTATTGACCCGGTTCCAGGGCTATGTCCCTCTCCCCAAGTCCGTGACCGAGTCGCGTATCATCGAGAACACGCAGGTATTCGACTTTGAGCTATCGGAAGAGGACATGGAGAGCTTGAAGACAGGGGTGGATGCACCTGTTTGCTGGGATCCCGCCAGGGACTCCCGCCTTTGATATCCAAGCAAATATGCGGAGATTGGGATGAGCATAGGTTCTTCCAAAAGTCTAAAACCTTAAGTTGGAACTAAGCCAAATCAATGATAAATGAACTAGAAATTATTTATATTATGAAACTTCATTTCTGTACTTTGGAGAGGATCAGAGCTCGGATAGCCAAGAGCGCAAGAAGATAACAAGCTCCCGTGAACTCGGTCACAGATAAACGGCCGTTTCGGCACAACTTAATGCCGTCCGCAAGACACCTACAGCTTCCGTTTACGGACCTTAACAACATGGTGATCAACAAAAGGCCTTTGTTACTTTCTCAGCCAAAATACTCCATGAGCATCTCCAATGTCTGCCTATATTTCGCCAGTCTCAAGGGACGTAACGCCTAGTATATACCTTTATTTCCGCCCTAGGTCAAGATGCCTGGATCGCCGAAACGTATCGTCCTAGAGAAATCGCGAACTGTCCGTCGTCGATATCAACGCAGCAACAAACGTCTCAAGTTCACAGCATCTCAGATCGCGCGAATAGAACGGGATGAAGAACGCGAGCGCAAAGCGCAGAAGCTTCGGGAGAGGGAGAAGAAGCGCATAACCAACAAGAAAAAGAAGGCCGAGAAAGAATTGAAGGCTCGCGAAGAACGACGACGACTTGGTATACCCGATCCCGATGCACCCACTGTTCCGTCAAGCCAACCGTCGCTATTCAATTTTCTTAAGAAGGGCCCTCAAGGCCCTGCGGAGCAAGAGACGACATGTGAAGATACGGAGCCTGATACTATAAGCACGGAAGTGGATACTAGCGAGGACTCGAACCCGGAGGATGAACCAGACGACGCGGAAGCTGTCAGTCTAGAAGTTAGTATCGACAGTGTCGGTGGAGATACGGAACCTCAAGAGGTTAATTGCGGACAGAGAGATGACGACGAATTTTCCGATTGCTCTATCTTCGACGATGAAGACATTATCAAGGAAGCTGAAATTGTCGCGGTCTCACAGAGTACTGCTCATACAGAGCCGGAGAAAAAGGAGCACAAAGATCAAGTAGCCCCGCCAGTCCCGATCAGTTTACCAGCAGGGGAATCCTTCCGAGATGATACAGCTATCTTGCTGGAAGAATTTGCTGATGAACTCGTTACCGACGAGGAATTCGAACAGGAATTGCTCCGGCTCGATGCAGGATGACATAGAGACTCAATTAGTGCTGTGAGTACAAGGAGTATTGTATTCTTTAGCACGGCAATCTTCCCTGCGGAAGCGTCTGGCTTCCTTTTCTGATCTCGGGCCCGCTTAGCGCCGCTTGTTGCTCCATGAGCGACTAAAGAATGAAATGAACAGCGTCAATCCACGTTCGTCGAACAACCGCGCGTCAACCCAGAGCAGTGCAAGAGCGATTCAGGGCGATTCCCTGATGCACTTGGTCTTTCTGGGGCTAACCGCATGCCATATGCATGGCTATGACTCTGCTCAGGATCTACATGCAATCGTTCTACACTAACTAGGCCATCGATTTTCTCGTGTCCCAATATCTTGGAATTTTGGTAGCAAGAATATCGCAATCCCGACGAGGTTGAAGGTTGGCCGATCTATTCGACTAGCTTCGCAATGATATTGGAGAAACTGTGCCTGTTGATGCGTTATAGAGACCCAATTACAACTACTCTACATATCACTTCCATTCTATGCCACCTGAAAGCTAATTCAGCAATACTAAAATATTGGATATTATCTTTGGACCTTGAACGGAATGGAGGCTCATTCCATTAGCCACACGTCTGATGCATTTTTTCGACCTCGTTAAGGAGTCATAAATGCTGGGAGACCTGGGATTAGATCGATTATGTGAACTTTGTCGCTGTTGATCTATGACCCAAGTCACGCATGTTAAAAGCTCTATATTCAACTTAAAGAGACTTGAACCGAAACTGAACCACCAAGGCATGGTCAAGTCCTTTTCGGTTTCCAGGGATATATTATTTGACACGAGGATTTCCGATGACTGCAAGCGGACCATGCCAGGGGACTGGGTCTGCGAATATCTCGCTAGGAATTGAATTATAAACATCAAAAACTTTAGGCATTGAATGTGCTTCCAAACTCGCTGATATTAACCAACCTGCGAGATGGCAGGGATATGTAGTGTTAGCTAATGTCGGCGTCTATAGTTAGTAGAAAACCAACACTATCCGACCCGACGGGCGACGATCCGCAGCGCTATCCGAGCGCCCCGCGTCGGCTAGGCCATTCAGCAACAAGGCGCGGATTTACTCCGCTGCCATCCGGACGGATATATTGGGAATGAGATGCAATTAACATCGTCATACATAGCAGCCCTACTGCCCTAACTAGTAGTAGCCTACTATCTAATTAAGTAAAATCCGATTGATATCTTCACCTCTTCACCTCCTAATTTCAATACTACAATCCCATCCCTCACCCCCCACACAGCAACCATGCCCTCCCTCAACATAAACAACCACCACCTCCACTACGCCGACTCACACCCCAACGGCGCCCCAGAACAAGGCCACACCATCGTCTTCATCCACGGCCTGGGCTCCTCCCAAAACTACTACTTCCCCATCCTCCCGCATCTAACCAACCACCGCTGCATAACAATCGACACATATGGCTCCGCCCGCTCAACCTACACGGGACAACCGATCTCCATCGCCTCCATCGCCGCAGATGTAATCGGCGTCCTAGACGCACTTAGCATCCCCAAAGCCGTGGCCGTCGGCCACTCAATGGGCGGCCTCGTCGTCACCCTGCTTGGCGCCCAGTATGCAGACCGCATAAAGGCAGTGGTAGCTATTGGGCCGACGCATCCTTCCTCGACGCTCACGACGGTGATGAACAAGAGGAGCGAGACTGTTTCCGAAGGTACCCTACACTCCACTACTCTCCCAACCCATCCCACCAACACAATTCTCCGCAATATCACTAACACACCCCCAAAAGCCGGCATGGAACCAATGGCCAACACCATCCCATACCAAGCAACCGGATCCGGGACCTCAGCGCTCACGAAGTCGTTCATCCGGGAACTGATCCTCGGGCAGAACCCCGAGGGCTACGCCGCGCTTTGTCGGGCCATTGCTGCAGCGCCCATGATCGATTATTCGGCTGTCCAGGCGCCGTTCTTGCTTATTGCTGGCGAGGAGGATAAGTCTGCGCCGTTGGAGGGCTGTCGGGTTATTTTTGACGGCGTGGCCAGTGAGAAGAAGAGCTTGGAGGTACTGCAGAAGGTGGGTCATTGGCATTGTGTTGAGGCGCCGGAGGCTGTGGGGGGTTTGATTGCAAGGTTTGTTGGGGGGTTGGTTTGTAGGGATTTAGAGGATTTTAATTAATTCAGTTGTTGGGGTGGATATTAGACATTTCTTTGCTTCTTAATGGATGTATATGTTATATACATATGTGTGTGGTTGATGTGCATACAATGTATAAACAAGACCATACCAAATCATACTGAAGAAAGCCAATTAAGATCACAAATCTCTCATCATAATTTGACTAAAACAAGCTTCCAGAATGCTAAAATTGAAGGAAAAGGTATATACAAAATTCATTAATCAAGAGCCAAAAATGTTCATACACCATTGGTGCTGCTCGGCTGAGCCGGCACCAATTTCACATCATAATTCAGCTCAAGACCAGCTTGAGAGTCGCCCTCGCGGGGAACAAAGTCCACGATCAGCGAGTCCTTGACGGCGAAGACAGAGTCATTGGTTAGGTATTGGTCTTTGCGGTCGAAGATCTGCGTGGTGAGGGGCTTGTAGCCGTCGTGAGTAGCCTATACACTTGTTAGCTTGGTCCTTGATACGAGCAAAAGCGAATAGCAAATATAGACTCACAATGATGTGGATATGAGCAGGTCTGAACGGATGTCTGTCCATCAGCTTGAGCAGCTTGCCTGCCGGTCCTACATTCAACCCAGATCAGCATTCAAACACTCCCTCCCAAACCACCCGGGACAAAAGTGAAACGTACCATCATCGGGAACAGGATACGGCGTGGGTCGCAAGCAGTAGAAGTAATACCGGCCCTCCTCGTCCGTCTTGAACTTTCCGCGGAGGTTGAACTCCTCCTGGTTCGGGTCCTGCTGCTCGTACAACCCATTCGTCGCTGCCTGCCACACCTCCACGGTGGCGCCCACCAGCGGCTTCTTGGTGGTGAAATCGATCACGCGGCCATGCATGAAAGCCATCTCACCATCTGGGACCCCCTTGACGATGTTCTCGCCGTTCTTGCGGTAGGGGGTGTCGGCGCGGAAGAATGGACCCAGGATGGCAGTTGCGGTGGGAGCGTCTTCGGCCTCTTCGGCGAGTTTGAAGGTGATTTCGTCGACGAGGCTTGAATTTCAAGTCAGTATATATATGAATATATTTATTTGTGGTGTCAAAGAGGTAGTTGTGATTGACAAAGATATTGCATGTGTATAGTCACAGGGAAACGTACGATTCTAACCCAATCACGTCGCAGACTAGCTGTCCCTCGTTCCGCTTGTCGTTGCTCATTTGACCGGCCCAGTTCATCAACTGGACTCCGGCCATCCATTCGTCGACAGTGACCTCGTTCTCGCGCGCAAAGTCATGGACATGGCGGATCAGGCTGGTCATCAGCTGGCGGAACCGGGGTTCGGTCTTGGGGCCCATGGCGTTGACGACATTGTCGGTGAAATTGGGGTCGAATCGGTGGGTGGCCATGTTGGCTTTTTTTTCTTTTCTGTCTCTATATTTTCCTTGTTCGTGTGGATATTATTTCCGAGATGCTAGAGTTTTGTATATGTCTGGTTGAGATAAAATCGAGGTATACTTCAGGATGAGGGGTAGGAGGGGTAGATATAAAACAAGGAACTATAAAACAGGATAAGTTTCCAAAGAGCACAAACAGTCTTTTATATCAGAGTCTATTCGCCGCCATGATTTGAAATGCTAGCCTTCCGGACGGCCTTTGCTGGAGAGACCCCGCAAATCGATCCGGCGGAACTAATGGACGAAGGTCGAGTTGCATGAGAACTCCAGCAGATACTGGCATCGGAATGGCCCAATGGACCGTATGATCGCCCGTCGGAAAGCGCACATGGCGCATCCGATCCCCCGCAACTCGATCGGATGTCGGATAGGGATGCGCGGTGATTGGTCCGGGGTTGGGCTTCCCCGCAGGACCTTATGCGACGTATCGGGACAAGTAACAACACCGATAATGTCCGCGTGGAATCTTAGTATAGTATATGCAAAGCCGTTGATGCAGTATATTCATGGCTGCGTAGTAGTAGCTTCCTTCTTCTGATTCGCATTCCGTCTCCCCTTAGGATTTCCCTGCTTCACCAACTCCTCCGGCAACGCCTGGACCTCCTTCCCACCCTCCCAGATCTTCCCCAGCCCATGCTTCCTCTCAACCACCACATCAAAGAACTCCACTGGAACAACACCCTTACCACCCTCCACCGCCATTCCTTCACTCAAAATAACCCCGTTCTCACTCCTCCAGAACGGACACCCAGCTGCCAGCGCCCTCCGCAAATCAATGTAGATAAGCAACTGCGCATCCCGGCGCATCCCCGAGATGACCTTCTCTCCGTGATCCCCTGTAACTTCTTTCGTCCGCTGCGCCCCCTGCTCAAGCGCAGACTGCACGGACGGCCCCGTAGCAAAATGCACCTGATTCCGCCCCATGCTCCTCAACCCGCCCGAGGCCAGAATCGCCGGCCAAGCAGCATGGAACGTCCCATGTACAACGGTATCGGGTAACTTGGCCTCATCATCCAGCGACAGTTTCTCCAAAAAAGAAGCCGCATCCACACTCTTAATACTGTGTCCCTGCGTCGCACGGATCAAGAAATGCGCCGGGTCGGGGTCCGACTCGGACACCGCGAGGGCCGTCTCCGTCGCGGAATCCTGCCCCGCGCTTGTCGTCGGGATGCCATCTTCTGTAGCGGCTTCCGTGGAGGTCGACTGCTGGGCCTGGGCCTCAGCGGAGGGGACATGTAGAAGGGCGAAGCGCTTTTTGTCCGAGGTTGCGACGGCGGCCACGATTTCGGGGAAGGTAACTTTGAGGGATTTGAGTTTGCGCCAGGCGAGCTGCAGCCAGTGTTAGATTTAAGATCCAGGAATGTAGATCTGTTGTTTCTGATGTAGTGAACTAGTGGGGGGGGGGGGTTGGGAGAACGTGAGGGCGTAACATACCACGTCTGCGACGTTCGCGTAGCCTTGCG